GGACCGGCTTAGGGGAGAGTCGCAGCAGGCGCAGGTCTGGGCGCGCCAAGCGCTTCGTGTCCATCCCGCGCTACGTGGAGACCCTGGTGGTGGCGGACGAGTCCATGGTCAAGTTCCACGGCGAGGACTTGGAGCACTACCTGCTGACGCTGCTGGCCACCGCGGCGCGCCTCTACCGCCATCCCAGCATCCTCAACCCCATCAGCATCGTCGTGGTCAAGGTGCTGCTCCTTGGAGACCGCGACGCGGGGCCCAAGGTCACAGGCAACGCGGCCTTGACGCTGCGCAACTTCTGTGCCTGGCAGAAGAAGCTGAACAAAGTGAGCGACAAGCACCCCGAGTACTGGGACACCGCCATCCTCTTCACCAGGCAGGTAAGTTCATCTGTCACCTCTCTGGACCCACGCGGCTTCATTTCCATCAGGTCACTGCCCTTAGCTCTCCAGATGCGCTTTGTGCTGTGCCATGCCCCTCCCTCCTCCCCCCAAGTTCAAATTTCGTTGCTCTCCTCCAACTCCCACTTTGGATCTTCCAGGGAGAGCCAGCTCCTAGGCTCAGCGAACTCTGGCTCACGGGCATCTGGGTGCACGTGGGTGGTCAGAAGGTGTCGGCCTGGCGTGGCCAATCAGCGCCTCCTGGATCAGGTGCCAAGGGGCCGGAGCCCAGGAAGTTGCCGCCCAGGAGATAGGAGGCATTGGAGAGGGCGGGTGGGGAAAAGTCCGCCCTATTCTATGAAGGCGTCTAAGTTGCTTCAGACACCCAGGTTCCCTCCCTCTGCTGGTAGAAGGAACTGACAGGTGATCAAATGGCCCAGCTAAGCACCTGGCTACATTTCTCACGGGTGACATGTTCAGTTTGTCCTCTCTGTTCTGGGCCTGGAAAACTTGGATGTGGGATGTTTTGTAGGTTCCAGTGGAAGGACAGACTCAAGTACTGGGACCATTCCCCCCGTCACTGCTGCCTCCTCTATACCCTCTTGTGCTGGGCCTGACTTCTGTTCGAGGGGCTTCCAGTACGTTCGGAGCAGGCCATCTATGTAGGGCACCCTGTTTGGAGCTTGAGGTTTCACTTGGAGTTGAGTTGGGAAGATCTCTTTCAATTTTCCCATGTCCTTGTTGGTGGAGGGTGACCCTTGGCCCCGATGTATGCTGGGGAACAGAGCAGGCAAGGTTGCTCCTGACCTCGAATCATTGAAACCGCCTGCGACTGCCCGGGACTGCAGCGTTCTGGCTTCTGCCCCTGGCCTTGTGGCAGGGTGCGAGCTCAGGGAAGAGCATTGGGGACCTAGCTATAGGGTTGGAAAGAGACTGAATATTGGGATTACAAAGCAGATCAGAAAAGCAGCTGTGCCTTTGCTATGGGTCTGGGAAAGTGTAGATTTGTAGATGTTGGAGTGATTGGGTACTGTGAAGCTTCTGGACTCTTAAAATTTGATAGATACTGAAGACTGGGAGAAAAAGGGGCATTCACATGACCCACTCCCTCTGTTTTGGGGGCTGCGACTTGAATCTGTGCCATTCCACAGCGTCCTGGGGAGGGAACAGAATCCATGGTTACCCGTGGGGCTCTGAATCTCCATGGTTTCCGAATGGCCCCTCGAAGCTGGACTGGCGCACTTGGGGCTGGAGGTGGAGTCCTCTACACTAACCCATTTGGCACAGCTAGTCCTTTCCCGCAGTTGAACTTCCTCCTTTCCCAGCCTTCTCCTCCCACCACCTGGTTTCTCTAGGGAGGTCTTTGGCCTGAGTCTGTTTCCTTGCGCTCATTCTTCCAATTGAGGTCTATGGAGCTGCCACTGCCCAGCCCTCACAAGCACCGCCTGAGTCATGGGGAAACGACAGAGGAGGTGGCTTTGACCTCTGCGCGCAGGCCAACTCGGCAGGCAGATTGCCGGGGAAGCAAGCAAAGGCCGAGAACAGGATAGCTTAATGGGCAAAGCAGCTGCGGCTCATCTGCTGCCTGGGATGCCCTGTGGAGGGAGGTCCCTCGCTGGCTCGAAAGCACCAGACCTCGGTCTCCGCTGCCCAGGGGCCAGGCGACTTTTGGAACCAGCCCTGGGAAGAGGACTCCTGCCGGGACCACGGGCCAGGCCGTCAGAAGGACCCCCCTTGAGACGAAGAAGCCGGCTTCTTCAAGCAACACGCCAGCTTCTGTGTGTCAGCGTGTGAGCTAGACCCCCGGGGACTATGTTGACAACGCATAATGGGTCCAAGATGTATGACCGCTTGGGTCAGAGATGGTGACGAGCAAGATGTGACTTTCAGAGGCTCTCTTCCTCTCCCTCGTCCAGAGGGCAGAGCCAGGCAGTGGGGAGGCCGCGTGGGCAGGTCCGTCCTCCACGCATGTGCTCTGCGCCTTAGAGTAAACGCCGCTCCCTCACCGCCTGGCCAGCACAGGCTGCAGAGCCCGCTGCATTCCCAGAGCCTGAGGAACTGCTCATTCCTGAACTCCCCCGGGAAGGTACAGTATGCGATGAGAACATGCGCGCACAGCTGCACTTTCCAGATGTGGCCTCCGGGAACCCGGGGGAGTCGCCTGCTACCCTCCGACACAGGAGGGACTTCTGTTTTGCTTCGTGAGGGTCAGTCGTGATCCTTTACGTCAGATGTCTGAGCTGCTCTGCCTAAACCTGGCTTGTAATGGCGGCGTAATCAATGCATTTCAAACTAAAATTCGAATGATAGATACTCTACGCATGTAGCTTGTTTGGATAAGGAGTTTTTAGAAATGCACTTATTTTGTATATCAGCTTTTGTTTATAAGGGCTCTGGAGAGGAGGGACACCTTTAGAGTCGCCTATTTATTGCTTGATTCTCCCAGAGAAATGGGAAAACTGGCTGGTGACTCTCTCTAACCGATCGCACACTCTAGTTGTGGTTGAGAGAGAGAGAGAGAGAGAGAGAGGTTAGGAAGGGGCTGGGCTTGGTCCCTTGGAGCTCCAGGTGCCAGGGGTACCTGCAAGGAGAGCAGCGCCCCCCCCCCGCCCCCCTTGGACCGCCCATCGAGTGGCTATGTATGACAACAAGCCTGGGCGGGGCTGTGGGAGATGCTGCGGTCCTTGGCAGGCAGTGGGAGGGGCGTGGGGTGTTGAAATCAAAACACTGGGAAGACAAGACCCAGGGAGTCTCCTGTGCACAAAAGGAGAAAGAAATGGATCATCCGACAAGTATTTTGACAATCTGAGGAGTTTGCTTAACGATTCAGAGAAAGTTCATGTTCCTGGAGAAAGTGCACATCTGATTTTCTGAGGCGATCAGCTTGCAGCCTCATAACAGCAGGGTGAGGTCAGCGCAGGATCGGAACCAGGGCTGTGCGGAGGCCGAGCCAGGCTTTCTGGGTGGACGCTGACTTCCGAGGAGGGACATTTCTGAGGCTTCCTGTTGCTCCGGCGGCCGGAGCCAGATAGTCCATGCGAGACCCTCTTCTCTCTCCAAGCCCAGCGTCTCCACTGTTTGGGTAACTGTGATAGACTCGCTTCCATTCATGTATTCCTACATTCTTCTAATACTCACCGAGCATCTGTTATTTCCAGGAACTATCCTGGGCCGTGGAGATAGAGATATTGGTAAGAGGTGGCCTCTGGCCCCCAGGAATTGACTGCGAGTCAGGGACCCCAACAAGGAAACAGCTCATTACCATACGGTGTGGTACAGTGTCCCACTGGGAGGCTTGGGGCTCCTCTGCTGGAAGTCAAGTGGGGGGGGGTGGTCATTCTTCTTAAACTAGAGCCTGTGAAGCACTCAGAGGGACAGGCCTCAGGAAAGGCACTGAGCCCTAGCCGGTTTGGCTCAGTGGATAGAGCATTGGCCCACAGACTGAAGGGTCCCGGGTTCGATTCCCGTCAAGGGCACACACCTGGGTTGCAGGCGCGATCCCCAGCCCTGGTCAGGGCACATGCAGGAGGCAACCAATCGATGCTTCTCTCTCTCTCTCTCTCTCTCCCTCCTTTCCATTCTCTCTAAAAATCAATAGAAAAATATCCTAGGATGAGGATTAAAAAAAAAAAAAGACACTGAAGCTGGGAGCTGGTGGTGATGGGGAAGGAAGCTTGTTGGACCTCATAGGTGACCTCCCCTCCATTCAACCATCTGTTTTGCAATTTGTGACACCTTTTGGCCTAAATTTTTTTTTTTTTTTTTTTTTTTTTTTTTTTTTTTTGTGATTTGTGGTTTCTCTGCCTTCTCAGCCCTTCATTTACTTTGCTTTTTCTGTTGTGCTTGGTACCACTTTATCCCATGCCCTGTCCTCTCCTCTCCGTGTTTTCTTTCACGCTCTTCTCTTCCACTTTCGGGATTATTGAGGAGGCTCTTTGTCATCATTCTCTCCTCCTTTATTCTCTTCATTCACACTCTCACCTTTCTGCCTCTCCCCAGCCACAGCTCGGCACTTATCTTCTTGTTTGGGCCTTGGGTACCTCCATGTCTTGTGGGGGGATCTATGCATCTCTAGACTATGCAGAGTGGAACAGCATTCTGGAACCTCATTTGAAATAGAAGCCGGTTATTTCTATAATAAACTAGTTGCAATATGGCAGTGAAGTTTAGTGCTCAGATAAAAAAAAATGAAATGTGGCTCAGTGGTTGCGTATCACGACCCATGAATCAGGAGGAAAAGGTTCAATTCCCTGTCAAGCCACATATGCGGGTTTTAGCCTTGATCCCCAGTAGGGGGCGTGCAGGAGGCAGCCGATCAGTCATTCTCTCTTATCATTGATGTTTCTATCTCTCTCTCCCTCTCCCTTCCTCTCTCTAAAATCAGTAAAAAACATATTAAAAAAATAAAATGTTAAAAAACAAAACGATAATATGCATTTTACACGTATCTCCCAATACAATCAAAAGAATCGTCATTTTGTCAGGATCTTTTCCCAAGTCAGGACGTGGAAGATATTAACACAGAAGGGCACCTGCAGATTTGTTTTTTAATAACTTTGTAAATATCACTAAATGGAAACTTAACACCTTTCCTTCTGGGAGGGAGAAGGTAGGGGGAGGGAGGCGTGGAATAGGATTGCTCCCTGACTTTCGGGGTGATTCCCCTTCTCCCTCCTTTTCTCATTTACACCAAGTCAGTCGGCCAATGGTAGAGTGCACGGGAATCTTTTTTTGTTCTTTTAAAAAACAACAACACTAGTTTAGTCAGGAAAGCAAGTGAGGTTTTCTCCCTCCTTAGCTCTTGCTCTTCTCCTTCCTTCGAGCCTTCCTGTGGTGGTATCACTGTCAGCACTTACCCTCTCCTCACCTTGACACCTGCCTTCGGTTCTCGGCACGATGGGAAGAACATAGGCTTGAGCCAGGCAAGCTGCGCTGGAATCTTGACACTTGCTCTTTAAGCAACAGACATGGAATGAATCAACTCTTTGATCCATTGAATG